CTTTAAGTGTTTCGTTTTATGCATGACGTTTTTAATGTTTGCATATATATAATGATTCAAGTATAAATTTGTTACTCATTCGCACAAATTATTTTTCTTCAAAAAGAATTGTAGAATTAATCACATACACTGGAAAACACAGGAACGGACAACTGTGGCGATGTGAAGTCTTTGGAAATTGAATATGATTACAAACATTTTATGTGGATATTATTTACGGTAGCATATAATTGACACATAAGTTCCAAGACCAGTGGATGGTTAGCATGAGGAGGAGTAGTGCGAATGAGGTAGATTCGCCAGGACTGCCTGTCATTTATTTTGCTTTCTTGAAATGTACCTTATTGATATGCGAATTGCTATTATGTATGTATATACATAACAATAACATATATAATATAGAGTTTTGTACATTGTTTACGTTATTTATGTAATTGACCTTCTTTTCTATTCCATATAAAATAATAAATAAAATTATAAAATAATTAAGTCAATCAAAATTGCATTCAATACAATGTTATAATTAATGTTGACTAATTCAATAACTAAAAAGGCTTGTGACCATTTGCGGAATAGGAATAGGAATAGGAATTACTTATTTTCAACATCATATAACCGATGTATTATATTTTGCCATTATTTCGCAATTGAAATGAAATCTTGATTCGAGAGTTTGATGTTCATTTTTTTCAGCTGAACTGATATTTTGAATTCTGATAGACAATATACAGTATAGACTGTAGTGAACAGCATTTTCCCAACAAACATGATAAACATCTCATCCATTATATCTAACAAACGTGACCAACACCTCGTCCATTATATCCAACAGACGTGACCAACACCTTGCCTTGTTTACCCCATCGAATGCTTTGAGGGCATCTAAAAAGCAAACAGAAACATGACTATCGTGTGAGGTGTAATGACGAAAACACGCATGCTAATAGAATTTTTTTTTTCTGAAACCGAACTGATTGTCAAATATGTAAATGTACTATTCACATTTAGCAAAAAGATTATGTTCCAAAACTTTAGTCAAAACAGTTTTAATTGCGATTAGGCGGTGACATGTTCTTGCCCACCACGTCACCACTCTTATTCTTAAGTAGCCGATGACGTACAACAACAATTAATTTTCATGAAACTGTTTCATGGCTCAGAATTGCAGAAAAAATACACGAAGAGTTGCAAAGAGAGAACAGTTTTGGCAAATTTCAAGTTTTAAGCACTGCGTGTATCCGCAACATCTGACAAGATCAAAGTAAAATACGATATTCGAAACTGCCGCAAAATTATTACAGCGAGCGTGAAAGTGAATATGATATGATTTTATCAACTGTATTTCAACAAACGTAGATTTTTCTGTGCAAACCATTCACATAAAGACATGTTTCTTTCGTATGTCGTCGCACATTATCTATGTGGCTGTTCATCATCACGATATAGGAATATAATCTAACACATTCCGTCAGATATTATATCTTGAACTGACTACTATGACTGATAATATTATGTATTGATATCGGTATGTCTTAATATCCTGTTATTCTCCAAAGTATTAATTTAATCCGAAGAACGGAAACGAAGGTTAATCTTATCAAGTATCCTCTCCTCAAATGCTTTCACGTAAATAAAAGTAGGTCGATTAGTCGCTGATCTATGCATACACACATACGAATGCATGCATAACGACCATTGAGTGATTTATAATATGAACAATAATCATATCTTGGTTGGCGTGAAGTTTGGCGTGAACGATCTAATTGTAACAAGGTAACAATATCCCTAATGCTAATTGAGTATTGGGAAGGGATGTATCTTGGTAATTTGACTAGACCAGATATTTGCAACAAATTCTGACTAAATAATAAGTTTAAAAATCGATCAGGATTTTAGAATACAAAATTAAGAGGAATTGCCACAGATTAATAAATCTTTTTCAATGACGTTGTCCCTGTTTAACCTATTGAAAGAGGGGATTGAAACGAATGTCACTGAATAAAAACACCCTGGAATGCATAGGCAACACATTATGCTGAAGTATGTCAAAATACGGGTATGGCACATTAAGTAAAAATTGGCCGAATTGAACCAAAATGGCGTTGATCAGTAATCCGCCATAAGTGATGTCAATTCCACGTTTGGATACCATTGGCTCACGTGACAATAACACCAACGTAGCCACAAGTCAACAAATGTGTGAGGGCGCTGTTTTGCTGCTGCCAACTTGGATAAGTACAGTCCAGTTTTACTACGTTTTACGGATTTTATGGTTTTGTGTGATTATCTTCATTGGATTCCTCGTTTATGTTAAGTATTAGTGCAACTTCTTGGTTTGTTGATGTTCGTCTATATATTTGTGTTGCCGTGAATTCTGTCCAAAACGTTTTTCACATGACGCCCATGCTGAAATCGCCACATTGTCCATTACTCATTACCATATGAATAGAAGCAAGTTTTTCCGCGTACCACCTGTTGCAGATAATTGTTTCTGACACTGCTTGATAAATTGCAACTCTGGACATGTCGTCACGAATCGTTTATAACACACTACAGTT